CCCTCCCTCCCTCCCTCTTTCTTTCTTTCTTTCTTTCTTTCTTTCTTTCTTTCTTTCTTTCTTTCTTTCTTTCTTTCTTTCTTTCTTTCTTTCTTTTTTAACTTAAATGAGGTAAAATGTTTGTTTCTAAAGTATTCAATTCAAAGTGTTAGGTAACATACCAATCAAATATAGAGAGCCCGTTCTCTTAGCGTTTCAGCACACCCCCCTGCAGCCCCTTCCCCACTGGGTTACAGGCTGAGAAGGCCTACTGCCTACCATCCTCAGCTTTCATCTTTTTCCAGGACGTGGTTTGTTAAAAGTACTGAAATCACGCCATTTGAACTCTGACCACTGGTAGCACTGCAAAGGGGTGCCCCTTCCTCAGCCGGTGACATTCGGGTGGGTCCTGCCAGATATTAGCTGTCATTGTCTACTTATTCTAGTTTCGTGATCCTGAGTTCGGGGAATGGTTTGGCTATCTGAACCGAGAGGGAAAGGTGGCCCTCACCATCAAGGGAGGTCCGTTTAAAGGTGAGCGGGGAACAGGTGAGACTGCAAGGGTTTGTGGTTCCCCGGACCCTCCCAACAACAGCATCCATTCTCCTCACAGGCTGCTTCCATGTGTCACGGTGCCTGGCCATGTGTGAGCAGATTCTGGAAGCCCTGCTCCGTCGCCTCGGACCCACCCCCGTCCCCAGCCTCGGAGGCTCCAAATAAATCTGATCCTGTTCCACCTGCTTGTGTGCGCACCTCTGTGGGCCATGTGGGAGGGAATAGCTACTCTCCACACTGCCAGGTTTGCCGGGCCTTCATGGCGGCCTCGAAGGCGCCACCTCACCGCGGTTCCACCGAGCCCATTGGCTCCGTGAGCGCTCACTAACTCTGAGGTTTGGAGGCGGATCCTGTAGCCGTGCACTTCCGCTGCAGACTAGTCGGAGCAGCTCGTCTCTTCCGCCACCGCCTCCTGGGAGTTTGGCCCTTGTCCCAGCCCCGGCCCCTAACGTCCGTGCCGTGCTTCTGAGTGGCCGCTGAGCGTGCGCGTTCACAACCCACGAGGACCCGCGAGCTCCGCCGCCGTGATGAACATCCGCAATGCTAGG